ACCACAATACCGATAAGTGATTAATAAAAGTCAAAAGACCAAAGAGGTCACCTTAATACCAAAAAAAAAAAAATAAAATAAAAAATTAGTACAAGAAAATAAAAGATCAAAAATAAAACAATAAAACAAAATAAACTATTATACAAAATATTACTAAGATTAAGAAATAAAAACTAAAAAATAAAAAATATAAAAAATAAAAAAATAAAAAATAAAAGATTTATAAAAAAATACAATCAAAAAATTAATTAATAATAATAAGAAACCTTACTAAAATAACCTAAAGACTAGTTTAAATAACCATCTAATAGTAAGTATAAACTCACTCTAATGCAGCAGATCACCTCTAAACACTTGTACAGTAACTGAAAAATATCAAACCTATAAATTAAGCTAAAATTTGTATAATTATATATGCAATTCTCTTAATAAAAAATTTTGACAAAACTGCCAAAAAGTTAAAAAAAAAATTTCTGAATTTTAATAAATAGTTTTTGTAAATCATTTTCGTATAACATTACATACATCAATTTTTTTAACCAATAAAATCACACTATTTTTTGATTTTTGATCGAAATAAAAATGAACGTGATGTTACACGAAACTGATGTACGAAAATCATTTTTCATTTTAATAATACGTATGAATGGTTATTATGCGTTTAATTACCCTTTAACTGATTACCAGAAAAAAGGAGAAAGTGTTGGTACCATAATAAAAAACATTTGATTTCGTACGCTATGTACAGTGGCCTCCGAAAGTATAAAATAGTTACACAAACAAACCATAAATTCATGCAAATTCATAATTTACATCATTCATGCTAAATCGTATTATTCAAGTTATTGAAAATGGAGGTTATAGTTGCAAATATTGGTAGTATTTCAATCAGGTATCGATATGTATTGCAATAATTACATATTTATGTATTGCATATTATTAATTTGCTAATTTGCGTGATAATAATATATTATTAAATTTGCTTATTTACAAAATTTATGCTGTTTTTTTTTAAATTTATGTTTTTTGTGTAACTATTTTATACTTTCGGAGGCCACTCTACGTGATTTTGTATCATTATACCGGGTGTTTGATAAGTCCCTAGACAGGGCCTTTTTGTTAATCACTAAATTATAAAGTTCCTTTTACTGATAGTGATTAACAAAAAGGTCCTGTCTTAGAGGCTTATCAAACATCCGGTATAATGAATTTATTTAGTCTAATTCCACCCCAACTAGTTGGTCAATACCCTTTAATTTTGGGGTTTTGCAAAAATCAGTCCACATATGAGGATAGAATAATCGCGCAGCTAAATTCAGTAAACCAAAAATAAGGTCGATATAGACCGGTATTTAGCAATAATATCGATTCAGACCTATTCCTGTTGTGCTTCAGGTGTCGATCGGTCTAGATTAGGGTTAGGGCAAAGACGTGGTGTAATTTATGCCGATTGGTTAATGCTGGCCAAAAAATCGACATCTGAGGCACAACATTCCTGCCCTGAATTTTTATTATGCGACTAATCTATTTGAGCCACCGTTTGATGGCCCGACAAATCTGTTAAATGTCGGTTCAACATGAAGCAGATTTTTATAATCATGTGATAATAAGCCAATAGTAAGTTTCCGATCACGGCCAGTACATATTAGAGTGATATGCAAATATCATTCGAGCTAGAAATTCGATGTAATTTAATTTTTAGAAAAATGTTGCATATCGACTATCTATGAGCAGTGGATTGGCTTAGCTCAAACTAATTTTTAATTAGAGTGGCAACTCAATTCAGCTCAAGGTTGTTCGGCACGATCCCAGTCTGAAAAGCTGAAAGATCAGCTCAGCTTGGTCAAAATTAGCCGTGGGCCAAGCCGAGACAACCGTTTACATCACCTTGGTTTTGGTAACGCTATATAGATACCGAATTTGCATCGGGCTCTGCCATGAAACGAAACAACGTTTTATAAATAAAGTTTCCAAGTGTCCATTGTATGAACAAAGATTATAGTTTATATTAAGATTGGCATTATATAGCTATAGTCTAATTTTGATTTCATTAAGCACCATCTTCATTGCCATCTTCATCACTGCTTTCATGCGCAGTTGTATGTCTTTCATCATCACCGTCTATCCCCTCTTCCTCAGCAAAGCTGACAATTTCGTTTGAAATTATATCATCAGTTCCATGCTTGGTAATACTAACACTTGCGTCAATATTTGAGATTTCGGGTATGTTAACGGCTGTAGTTACAGTATCAGTGGCGTTTACAATGTTCTGTTGGTTTTCAGCCTCCTTTTTGATCTTTTCATGATGTTTTAATTGCTTATTCCAAAGCTTATAATAGATACCTTCTTCTTGCATCAATTCAAGATGCGATCCTATGATAAATCATGAATTATATAGTAAATAATTACATAATCGCATATTTTCTTTAGACAAATTTACCTCTTTCAACAATTTCCCCTTCTTGTAAAACGAGTATCTGGTCTGCATGGACTATAGTCGAAAGACGGTGCGCTTTGCATAATATTTGAATACCAAATAATGAGTAAAATAAGTGATGATAAATAAAATAAAATAATAATTATAACAATACCTATTATCAATGTTGTTCGATTAGCAGTCATCCTGCGTAAGGATTTTTGAATATGCCTTTCAGTTCGCGTATCGAGCGCAGAGGTAGCCTCGTCAAGTAAAACAATTTGTGGATTCTAATATAAAAGCTAGTCAATAGACCAAAATTTAAATATTAATTTATACAAGCTTGTAAGAGTACCTTTAACAAAGTTCTCGCAATAGCCTTAAAAAAAAAATAATTAATTAATTGATGACTTATCAAATGTTTAATACTTTAAATAAAGGTACTAAGTGAAAGTCATCAGCTCATACTTACAACTCGTTGTTTCTCGCCGCCTGAAAGTCTTAAACCTCTCTCCCCAACTCTAGTTTCGTACCCTTCAGAAAATCCTAATATTTTATCATGAATTTGAGCCGCACTGGCAGCTTCTTCAACTTGTTTATCAGTAGCTCCAATTTTACTATAACGGATATTATATTTGATCGTATCGTTAAATAAAACTGTGTCCTACATAAATGAAACGCACTATGTTAATCGTAAGGCAGTTAAAGGCATATCTGAAACTGTAAGATACTATACCTGAGGAACGACACCTATACAGTTTCTCAAATCACGTTGCTTGACATGACGAATATCTTGCCCATCAACAAGAATACGCCCTGTCTGTACGTCGTAGAATCGAAAAAGTAAACGCAAAATTGTTGATTTTCCACCTCCCGATGGACCCACCAAAGCAACAGTATAACCGCTCGGAATAGAAAATGAAATGTTCTTTAGAGTTGGAACTTTTGAATCATAACTAAAGGATACATTATCGAAAACGACATCCCCCTTTTTTACAACTAAAGGTGCAGCATTGGGTAAATCTTTAATTTCTGGTGGTTCTTGGAGAAGATCAAGCATCTTTTCCATATCAACGAAATTTTTTTGAATCACGCGATAGTAATTCCCGAACCAATTAAGAGGTGCATAAAGTTGCAATATGTAGGAAAGGTACATAGCGAAATCTCCAATCGACATCTCATTTTTGGAAATTCGAGTTGCACATAATAACAGCCCAGCTAGAAGTCCAAATTGAATAGTCACATTCTGCGCAGTATTGAGAATATACAATGTCATGTTGGACTTCAGATCAGCCATTTGATAGTCGAGGATCGCACGCGTATATTGATCCACTAGTAACCATTCAATGTCAGTAAACACAAGACACATAGACAACGTTATGTAAAATAATAATAAATTACCTTCAAAAGGCTCTGCAGCATACAATTTAACCGTCTCGTAATTTAATAATGAATCGACTATAAATTCAGTTTGTTTACTTAGTTATTTGTTATAATAACAACTTGATCGTTGGCTGTAAACTAATACATATAAATAGTAATGAACAACATACCTGCCTTAGCTTCCATTACATTATCTAATTGATTAGTTAACCTTCTATACTTTGTCCTCCATTCAGTCATAATAATAGTACTAATTATGTACAAGGACATGGTTACAAACACAATCATTCCAAAAAAGAGGTCGAATGCCAAAGTAAAGTAAATTATAGCAATGGTAATATCAACAAGAGTTGGGATGATATTAAAGAGAATAGAAGAAAGGATAGAAACTATGGAAGAAACACCTCGATCTATATTAATTGAAAAAAAAATTACTAAAAGTCACTTCGGATTAAACTGGCGATGCTTGATATACCTTGGACGCGCAATATTTCACCAGTTTTACGGTTATGATGAAATCGTAATGATAGACTCAACAAATGATCAAACATTTTTACAGAAATCTCTCTTGTTGTAAACTAATTATGAAAGAAATTAATAATAGAAGGTAAAAAGAGAAAGGTAAATAACGCTAGCAGGTGGTTAATTAGCTACCTGTCCAACAGGAATCCATAAAAGACTTTGGATTGTCTTTACTATTCCCACCTCACCCTGCAAAAACCTTAAACCCACAAAAATCAATATTTCTTTCCATATTGTTTCACCAGCCGTCAATCGATCTATAAGCACTTTATTTTGATATGGAAGTAGTGCATTGACGATGCGACCCACAATCAAAAGTAACACGCAAATAACGATTAGGGCTTGTAATTTTACGTCATGTGCTGGCCAAAGGAATGGTAATAGCTTCTTAGATTTAGATAAAAAGTCTCCAATGCTATGAGGTGGTGCATATTTAGGATTATCAGCCATTGAGATAGGACTTCGAAAAATTGGTGTCTCGGCATCTGGAGTATCTATCGGGTCACTTTCGTTAACTGTTTGATCATCATCCATCCCTACGTCCTCGTTAACGCTTATACTCCTATACCCTTGCGCTTCATAATATCTTCTATGTTTAATCGTCAGCGTTACGGCACATATAACCAAAATAAAATTGACAATATATCGTATAATGTATATAGACATCAATATCAAGCTTTGCGTCCAATCACTGGGATCATCATCATGTGGTTCGACAAAATACATCAATCTATTATAAAGCTCAATGTTCGCGAGAATGAAAGCTAAATACCAAAATCCTTGAGTATAATGACTCCATTTTTGCTGATTGTTCTTTTCATGCAAAACAAAATAATAATTGATGATCCAAGCTATCGAATGAAAAATTGTGGACAGAATCAGATAAGATGGTATATCTGTATCAACGCGCTCTTTCAAAGCGAATATAAACAAGATATTTGATATATTAGACAAAACTAGGAAGCCAACGGACATTTGGATAGCATTTGCTAATATACGAAGCGAACGCAGATAGCCATTATCAAATTGATCTCTTTCATTGTCTGTAAAGAAACAATTATCCAATTGACGAACCAGAACAAAGTTGATGCACAAGAGAACATATGAGTGACGCCAAAAGAAAACCAGACTTTGTACTTTTAGCCCTGACGGCGACACATATGACACATAATTAAATTTACTTACGTATCATATATGTTTCTGATCAGGGTCGAGTCTAATAAATAACAAATAATAAACTTGAAAGCTCGAAATCCAGTTTTTCCTTGGATTCACCCATATACAATAATGAACAAGTCTCGCACCATGAATTCGAGAAAATTGGGAATTTCTTGTTACTTGCAAGTATATCCACCGTATACCTCCAAATATGACCATGTAAGCTAAGAGCGTAGTACTTATTGCCGAATGCAAGCCACATGACGGAATTCGAATACTCGCTTCAAAAGTTGGGAAACAAAAACACGGTTGTCCTAACTTTATGTTAAGCATGGAATTTTACATATAAAAATTTTAGAATAGTATTAAAATGTAAGGGTAGTATATAACAGATTAGCTTTTTTTAGCAATTACTTAACAGTGATTTTTGTGCAAGCGCGATGTTCAACGTCTTTTTATGATCGTAAAAAAGAATACATTGATATAAATAAAAATCTGGCGTAATAAGCTACGAATGAGGAAAATTTATGTAACTCATTGCTGATCGATATAGCTAAATTTAGATGTATATAGTTATGGTGCAGGTGCTATTTTTCTTTGAACTTGTCTTTATTGCTTTTACATTTTATTACTGAAAAACTTTTATCGTTATCGTTACGCAGTTTTGTAGTTTAATCTATGGCCTTGCAAAGTTAGGGATGGTCCGGTCCGGTCTATCAGTCTAGTCTCGGTCCCAATACCGGTCCTTAATTAGGCCATACAAAATTAATTAATTGGTTTTCATAACCCGGCCGGGTCAAATTTTAAGTTTGTAAAAAAATTTTTAAGATATTTTAATTTGTATGGGCTTATTCAAATCAATTATAATTGAAAATAAAAGATTATTTAGTGTTGACAAATAGAACAATAAAACAAAAACTCATTTTTTTGTCTTTATATGTATACAATGGCTCTTGATATAACGGACCATCGATACAACGGATATTGCTTAGTACGGAGAATTATAATTATGATTTACTTTAATATTTGATATACAGTAAAACCTCTATAAGTGCACCCTCTATAAGTGCACACCCTCTCTACATGCACACCATAGTCCGATCCCAAGCTTGGGACTTAGACACCCTCTATGTTCTGCACGTGCAACGATTTTGGATTCCGTGTATATTAAAAATTT